TGCACGCCCGGCCCCGCCCTTCGCGGGTTTCCCAGACTCCGCGCAGCGGCCACCGCAGGCGGCTAGGGACCCGCGCTGCATGTGTAATGGGGGCTGGGAACAAAGGCGTGCGAAACCCGGCGCTCCCGCGGCCGCGCGGCGGCAGCCCAGGCGGCCCCGGCTCCTCCCGGGAGCTTCGGTGCACGACTCCTCACGCTTTCCAGGGCTACCCGCAGCCAACCAGAGCGCGCAGCCGGTCCCTGCGCGCACAACCGACTTGGGCGAGCACCCGCAACGCCAAAAGAGGGAAATCGGTGGCCTTAAGAGAAAAAGCGGCCCCCCCGGTAGAAATCATCATGTATACACTTGCACACTCTCAACCGCACGCGCAAGAGCCAAACTAGCCCCGCAGGTCATCCACCTTCGCCACGTGCTTCCAAAAGGCAGAAGGAACAGGGACCTGTTGGTTTTCCTTCCCGCCCCACGTCCCCCCCCAGGCGACCAAAACAAAGCGGCCCCGAGGGGTGGCTGCGCCTCCCTCGCTGGGGCCAGAAGCAGGAAAGCGGGCGCAGGTGGGAGCCGGTGCCAGCGGCCCGCCAAGCGCGGAACACACGCAGACTCTGCTGGATGGGGTGCAGGACTCCAAGCTGCGAAAAGCAACCCCTTTCTCTACGCTTAGTGGCTCTGAGGGTCGCGTAGCCCTTCCCACACCCGCTGCTGCACCGACAATCCCGCCACCCCGGATCAGATCTGCCCGCCCCGCTTGGCCACCTTCCCCACACGCTCTGGTTTTCCTCTCACTTTCCCTGGGTTCCCCGCGCCCGTGTAGCCCGAACCCCGACCCTGGAACTCGGGACCCTGGCCCCCACCGTGGGGCCGCCTCCGCGAACCGGAGCCCCGCAGACCGCCACACAGACAACACCGTCCCCTCAACATCAGCTAGAGGGGCCCCGGCGCGGTACCCGCCCGGGAGGTGCAAGCCGGGTGCAGGTGGCGCGGCGAGGAGGCCGCGGGCCCGCCCTTTGTTGGTAAACACCGCGCGCCGCCCGAGGCGGGCCCCGCGCCCTCTCCACACCTCCCACGCCGCGCCCCGTCCTTACCCGCGCACAGCGATCCCCAGAGGAGGGCGAGGGC